CCTCAGCAGTGTACATTGTCGATCTGCCTGTTCTGTTCCCCACTGTGTCTCTGGTGAAGCCTCTCACCACCGATGAGCCTCTGGCCTGTACCCCAGTTCTGTATGTACAAATAAATAAATCTTTTTTTTTTTAAAAAGACATTTAAAAATCCTTATGTATCAGTTTCAACATCTGATGTAGATTTTGAAAATGTGATCCATTTTTTTTATTTTGATATGTCAATAATTTTGAGTAAGATCTTGAATTTTATGAATGATAAGTTTGTTCTAGATTCTATTTTTCTATGATGAGAATCATTTTCTTTACATTAGTAGGTATTTTTGTCTTGGCTGGATTTGAACTGCAAAGTCTGTTTCTTGGGGGGATAACTCTCATCTAAGTTGAGATCTTTTGTTTTAAACTGAACAGGTGTGATTCTGTGTCTGATGTTTTAAGATCTGATGGAGATATGAGTAGAGAGCATTTGGAGATACCCTCGTTAGCTCTGGCCTCCTTCTAGGATTTTCTCATCTTTCCACCATTCAAAGTTACCTGACTTCACATTATGGTTCACAAATAAGACAGAGCTTTCACACAAGCACCTAATACTAAGTCTGTTTCCTTGACCCCACTTATACTCAAGTTGACTGCCCCCCCCCAAAGAGGGCGGTATTTTCTTGGATACTTTCCCATCTGCCCTCTTCAAGCAAATCTGTCCTGTCTACAAAGACAACCTGCACTGTTCATATTCCAGCACAATAGGTCATTGCTGTTTGTATTACGGGCAAGTTTTATAGATACTTCCTGCTGGGGTATAGGCTAGAAGAGTGTGTTAATCTGCTAGTCTTGCCTGGAACTTTGAATCTTGAAAGTCATTTCTTGCCTTCATTGTTACAAAAGGCTCCTCACAGTCCCTTCTACCCTTGCCCTTAAGGTATGTTCTCAACACATCAGTCGGAGGGATATTAATAAAATATAACAGGTACTTATAGTGTCTCCCATTTCACTCACAATGAATCCAAAACTGTTTAAAATGTCCGACTTTGCCTGTCTCCTCACCTTGATGTCCAAGTCATATGCTTCTGCTGGTTTGCAACCTACTTGTGAAAGACCCATTCAGCAATACAATTGACTCTTGCTTCGTAATCCTGAGGTGGGGGCACCCTAAAAGTATGGTTCTTGGCAGTCTGGTTTTTCTTCTTCCTCCTTTCTTAAATAAAGATCGCACCCAGTTCCAAACTTTAAACTTACATGATAGGGGATTGAACGAAGCCTTTCCTTTTACCAGGAATTGGAGACTTGAGCCCCATGCTGGAGGCAAAGAGGCTTTACACGATGCGCCACCTTCTCGACAAACTTGTAAAAAGCACCACTGAAGGGAGTTAAGGGCTCCTGCGTACCCTTGAGCCTTCTTCATGCTGGTATCTGTCTAGACTTAGATAAAGAAAGACACCAGCGAGCGTTCGCGCAGGTGCTAGCCACTTGGGGATGCGCTAACTTTGCTCCAGGGATTTGAGCCCTCCCGCCTCTCTGCGGCGGGGAAGCGGAACCCAGACGCGCGCTCCCTGCTTCTGGCCGGGCGCGGGGCGCGGTGCACCACAGCGGTGCCAGCATGGCGGAGCACGGCGACTCCGAGCCCACCCCAGGCGGCAGTGGTCTGGACTCTGGAGGCGCTCGCAGCGGCGGCGGCGACGGCGCCCAGTCCTGGGCCCCAGAGGACGCCTGGATGGGCACCCACCCTAAGGTCAGCAAGCGTGAGAGGAGCCGGGGGCCGGCCAGACTCCACCCCCAGAAGGAGCGCTGGGCCGCGGTCTCAGCCGGGCTCTCGACCCCGCAGCCGGGCCGGATCGCTGTGTTGTTTTTGTTTGTTTAAAAGAGTTGAACCATCTCCGCCCTACCCTGACACTCTCCGCCCGAACTGTTCTTAATCAGAGGACAGAAAACTAAACCAGCGTCTCTCAAACCAGAGGCTAATAATAACCACTAATATTTAGTTTTGCTGTTTCGGGCGGTTTCTGGATGGCACATTGAATCTTCGCAGTGAACACGCGGTGCAGCGTGGGCCACAGTTAAGATCTAGGAGTCCGTAAAGATAAAGGTTTAGACACAGCTTATGTTTAGCCTTAGACCCAGCGTGTGTGTGTCTTGGTTTTACCCAAGTGCCTAATTTTTCTAATTTCTTGCAAAGTTTGAACAGGTTTTTCCCCAAAGCCCAACTACTCACTTTGTGGATATATATCATTCTGCGTGAACTGCAAGACAGTTCTACTTGGCAGATTACTGCCTTGTGCCAGTAATTGTCCAAGAAAAGAATAATGAATGAAGATGGCATTTGTAGGAATCTCAGTAGAATTGCAGTTTTTTTTTTATTAAAGAACATTATTTCAGATAATGATCTAGACACTGTACAATAAAGGGAACTTTTGAAGGTGTAAGCTGGATATGAGTTCACCTTTCATCTTGCTTATTTTTATCTTCTGCTCTGTTCCAGTATCCCCCCTCAAGTTGAGAAATGCCAGCAACAACATGAGAGGTTATTAAGTGTCATAAAAGAAAAGCCTAAAACAGAGAAGCAACATAGTGGTTAGTAGTGTCAACTCAAAGTCAGACTGCCTGAAATTGAATGGTTCTGGGGAAAGTGTTGCCCCATTTTCTTTATCTGTAAAATGGAGACTATAATAATACCACAGAGGATTGCTGCAGGTTGTAATCAGTTGAAATTTGTAAAGCACTTGACATATAGTAAGTGTTTTATATGCAACAAGTGAAACAACACTAACAAGTTTTTAAAACTTTATGGAGTTTGGTGGTACTATTCATTTTTCGAACTAGCAGATTTTTTTCCTCTTTGAAGGCTTTTAGATCCTATCTTCCTTTTTGATTTTTCATCTTGAAGAATCTAGTTGATTTTTTAAAAAGAAGTAGAAATAATAATGGGTGTTTGATTTTCTAGATTTGCATTTTTTTTTTTATTTCACTTGAAAATTAATTGGGTCTATCTGTACATGGTATCAGATTTACCATCTTCAAGCACCATTTCACTATGGGTAAAATTCAAACTTTAGGCTTCACCTTCAAGACCTTGCATCTAATTACCATTTTCAAACACAACTGAGGTTTGACGAGGGTAATAGTACTTTTGTTGTGCACCTGCTCACTTACAAAGCTGATGGGACAGTGTGACTGCTACTGCCTTACTTTTGCTTTAGCCCTACTTATCCTCCTTGCCACAAACACAACTGGAAGACTTCAGGGCAATGCCCAGGGAGAATGTTCCTAATAGCAGCAATTTTATTGACCCTTTAAAAAAAAAAAAAAAACTAACACCAAATCACTCCTTAGTCTTGAATAAGAAGTGGGGAAAGAACCGGAGTGGTAGTCCGGCAGACTTTGTCCACATGCAAGTAAGAGTCCAGTAACAAGTCCCAACAAAAATCTTGTTTAGAAATGTCTCTACTGCTGGCAGATAATTTCTGTATAGGCCTTTAAATATGGGTAGCATATTCCCCTCTTTGTGTGATTTTTTACACTGTTATTTTACCTTCTCCATTTGCTTAAATGATACCTGCCTTTCCGCGCCCAACTTGAAAGCCACCTCTGCTATGAGACATGCACCACCCCAGCTATTGAAGGGAGCTCCCCTGACCTGTTGTGTCCTGTTCTTATTTTATTAACTTGGTTTTGTCACTTTCTGTCATATACTGTTACTTGCCTAACAGTTGCAAGGTTTTAGAGACAGGAGTTAGATCTTAACTGCCTTATAACTCCCACTTTACCTATAAGGGATATGTATGTTCTATGTATTTAATGAATAGTTGTTGATTGAGTGAAAGAAAATATTAAGAGGTTCTTTCTTCTCCATTTGACAATTACATTTTGATTTTCAGTATTTAGAAATGATGGAATTAGATATAGGAGATGCCACCCAAGTTTATATAGCATTCTTGGTTTACCTGGACCTCATGGAGAGTAAGTTACTTATTTATATTGTTTTGTTATTGGGTCTGTGGTGGGGAGGGAGGAATTGGGTTGGGATATGTAGATTGTTGACATAGTAATAATAATATTTGTGTATTTCTGTTAATTCAGTGAATTTTTTTCTGTCAATTTTGTATTTTTTTTTGTTTACATTGGAAATTACAGGGTAACAAAACATTATAAAAGAGAAGGTAATGCTATGAGTGGTTTACTCACCTGAGTATCTAGTAGTTTGAAGTTTTTGTCTTTTATTTTTGATAAACCTTATTGTCCATTCAATGGTGCTTTTTCAGGTAAAAGTTGGCATGAAGTAAACTGTGTGGGATTACCAGACCTGCAGCTCATCTGTCTTGTTGGTACAGAGATAGAAGGAGAAGGATTACAGACTGTGGTGCCCACACCCATCACTGCTTCCCTCAGCCACAACAGGTGGGCAGGTGATTTTAGCCTTTGTCTAACAGGTTAGTTCCTTTTCTGAATAAAGTACTAGGAACTATTAGAGGTAATAATATCTTTTTAAATGATTTAATACAGGGAGCTTTTTTTTTTTTGGCTCTTGGCTAATTGTTCGGAAAATGTTAAGTAGTATGACTAAAGTCAACTATGGTATATCTTTTCAGAGACAGAATATATGAAATATACTTATGAAAATAGGAAATACTTTCTTGGCAAGGAAGTAGGACTACTATTCTTGAACAATATTGGTATTACAAGATGTATTATTATACATACAACAAATAATACTTGCTATATAAAGTTTGTGAAAAACATAATTAACATGCAACTCACAATTAAAAAAAATTAATCATAGATGTACAGAATTTGGATTAGGCATAGTTTAGTTTCATGATATATTTTATGAATCAATTACTCCAAACAAACCTAGGTTATTTACAGTAATCTGATTTTGCCTGATTTTAAGACTCCACACCATACCCTGTTTCCATTGACCTGAGGTAACTGCCACCCTTAATCCATATTCACTGGGAATTGTTTTATTTTAGATTTTTAAAACTTTATTAAAAGACACGTAATATTTAAAAGCTCACATACTTACTTAACTATGTTGCTAAAACTTACCCATTGTTATATTTTTGGCTCTTCATGTTTCCCAATACCATTTGTTAAAGAAGCTTTCTTTTCTCCATTGCATGGCCACGGCTCCTTTGTCATTGATTGGCTGTCCGTAGTTGTGTGGGTTTATCTCTGGGCTTTCTATTCTATTCCTTTGGTTTGAGTTTCTGCTTTGTTCTGATAACATATTATATTGATTAATATTGATGTGAAATATTGTTTTGAAATTAGGCCATGGGATACCTCCAGTTTTCTTCTTTTCTTTAAAGATTGCTGTATCTTTTTTGGGTCTATTGTGGTACCAGGTAAATTTTATAACTGTTCAATTTCCTAATGAAAAAGTTCATTAGGGTTTTGATAGGTATTGCACTGAACCTACAAGTTGCTGCATGTAATATGGATATTTGAAGGATGGTTGTTCTTTTGATCCACAAGAATGGGATAGCTTTCCATTTCTTTTTTCTTTTATTTATTTTAATAGAGTTTATAGTTTTCAATATATGGGTACTTTACTTCCTTCACTAAATTTACTCCCAGATATTTCATTCTTTTTCGTGTAATTATAAATGGGATTATTTTCCTTTCTTCTGATACATTGTATATAGAATGCAACTAGAAATTGTGTATTTCCAGTTGGATTCTTTTTTTAATCTTTTTTCTTGCCTAACTGCTTTGACAAGACTTCCAACACTGTGTTGAGCAATAGTGTTGATAGTGGACATTCATGTTTTGTTCTTGATCTTAGTGGAAATGTTGGAAGCTTGTCCAGGTCTTAAATAATCCATCTCAGATTAAGAACTAAAGTTAGTCTCTTCTGCCTCCTGCCCTTACTCTTCACAGGAAACTGTTAGGTGTTTTAGTTGTTTTAACTTTCTACCACTCCTCCCTGCTACTCTGTTCTGCTAATGGGTCATAATCTAGGAAGCTTGAGTCTCCTGGTAAGAGAGCTACTCTGGTTAATAGAGCTCATGCTCTGGAACTTAGTTGGGCTTGGCAGATAGGAGTTGCTCATGTGGGGTGTGTGCTCTGCTTTGTATGTGGGACACAGGCTATTGCTGCTCCATCTCCACTTCTGCTTGTGAGGGACCTGATGGTAAGCTTCACAGGCCTGCTTCAGCTGGGCTGCAAGCTCTGCATGTTCCTGTGACACTTTCCAAGGGATTAGTGAGATCACTCACCAGTCCCTCTCTCTGCTATTGGGCCTACGATGGAGCTTGGCCCAGTCACACTTTGATCTCTTACCTCAGAAAAGTGCCAGACAGGGGGAACTTCCTTGACCATCTCTGTCTCACAGTTCCCAGTGGCCCAGGTTAGACCCATGCCCATGCATGACTGCATGATTTCATTCCCTTTCTGAGAAGTTCTCCCAAGGAAATTCATAGTGCCCTGGAGTGTCCCTCTTGCTGTGGATTGCTGACTCTCCAGCCCATTCTATTCCCCTTTGTTTCTTCCCATTGCTTTCCCTTAGCAGCTTTCTTCAAGTTCTCCTTGGGAAAGTCTTGGGTCTATATTGGAGATCATCTGAGTTTCCGTGAGCAATTTAAAGAAAAAAGCCAACTTGTTTTTAAGGAGTAAGGTGATCCTAACCTCTTTATTCTCTGTATATATTCTTGACAATAGTCCTTTTGTTTTTGTTGTGTTTCCCAATCTTTAAAGTCTTCCAGTTTCTAAAGTCTTTCAGGTATTGCTTGATGAGTAACAGTTCTTAATTTGAATATATTTATCCATCTTTTCTTTGAAAATTGACATCTCTGTATCTCTTTTAAGAAATATTTTCTACCCAAAGAGTCTAAAAAAATTCAACCATTTCTCTAAGAAAAGTAGATTTGAGAAAAAGATTTAGGACCTCACTTCTATAGTACTTTAGTAGAAAGAGCACTGGTCTGAAGTCATAAGACCCGTGTGCTGGTCTTGGCACTGACACTTTAATATTTTGTGTGAAACATGATGATACATTTCTTCCTCACTTTTTGCCAAAGAATTTAGATTATCAAAATATGATATGTGAGACCTCTTCTAAATCAAAGCTACCGTAGTTGGTTATTTTCATTGTGGGTATTATAAGCTCTGTTAAACAATTTTATAAACTTATATTACTGTTCATTATAAACATTGCTTTTTGCTCTATGAGACTATTTTACCTTCCTTTGAGAGCTCCTCATTGTGAGGTTTTTCTTTATCTTTGAGAACCACAAATAGTTGATACAGTTGAAATCAGATTAGATCACTGTTACTTTTGTCTTTTACAACCATGATTTTAAAGTTTTTCTGTGTCTAAAAGACTTAATGTAATTCATTTCTGAAAGAGTTCCCCTGTGTCTCCAAAATACTATAGTAATTATCCTAGCTAGTGGTCTTGTTATATTTTTGGACAAGGAACTATCATTAGAAATTATCTTGGATTTTATAAAATAAAATCAGTAGCCTATTTGAATCAACATATCTTCTTAAGCTTAGTAAAACTGTGTATCCTATAAATTTTTAGTATTTTCCAAATGGTGATCATTGCATTTTTTACTTTTTAGCTTATAAATAGAATTAGGTGGACGAATTAGGTGGAAGAGTAACTTAGTAAGCTATTTTTATAGTCTTGCATTTAATACTCAAAGGATTTAAGTCTTTGTGTCTTGCTTTTATGTAGATATAATTATGAGGAAAGATAATACAGAGTGTAGCACAAATGAGATCTAAAAATATACTAGATTTATTAAGACTTTTTAAAAAAGATTATTTATGTATACAGGACTGGGGTGCAGGACAGAGGTGCAGGGCCAGTGAGAGAATTCACCAGAGACAGAGTGGGGAACAGAACAGGCAGACTGACGAAGTACACTGCTGAGGGGAGCAGCGGGCGAGTCAGGAGAGGTCTGCTGTGCCATGTGGGTCACCTCTGGGGCAGGGATCGAACACATGCTGAAGTGGCTTTAGCTTCTTAGTGCTGTGCTTTAACCTGCTGTGCCACCATGGAGGACCCAGATTTATTAAGACTTTTATGGGAAAATATTTTCTCAACTCACAGCATGCAAATAACTTTTTAACAAATAAAGATTTATGTGCCTATGTATTTGATTTTATTCTTTAGACTTTACTAGGGATGATATTTTTAGGTAGTAGGCATACTTCACCTATTTTTACTTCTGTGTGTACTTTCATATAAAATGTTATGTATCTAAAAGTAATACTGCAACTTCAGATGTTTGTGGTTAATATAGGAATTTTCCTTCATTAACAGAAAAGAAAATTATTGACTTTGAATCTTTGATAGCCTTGTGTAAAGAAGAAATTCATTGAGATGTGCTAAAAGTATTTGGATAGGAACCTTAAAGGTGCTCACCATGAAAAAAAAAGTTTTTTTTTTAAATTTGGGAATACAGCTTTTACTTTATTCACTAATAGTCACCTACAAATATAAATGAAGTATAATGGAGTACTGATTAGTCCTTTAACAGGGGCATACTGATTAGTCCTTTAACAGGGACCTAGAGGAAGGTCAGGAAGGGCCTCCTGAAGGTGTAAAGAGACCAGGTTTCAGTAGGGCAGCTGCACATATAACTGCATGACTCCCTGCCTGGCATGATATTAAGTTCGGTGTGAGTGCTTAATAATGGTGAGGTCAGCTAAAGAATAAATGAATGAAGATAGCTCATGAGAGATGACGGACAGGATGGGATATGAGATAGAAAAGGTTGTCTGTTTTTGCTCTTCTGCTGTTACAGATTGGGCACTGATGAATAGCTTTGTGTCTCCTTGTAATTATGTGTGACAGTCCCTCTAAGTCGAAGCCCAGAGGGCTAATGGTTGGGGGACAGAGCATTTACACCTCTGTCTACTGGTCTAACTAAATTATTAAAATTATTAAATTATTCTCCAAAAATGGCCCTCCCTGGTGGCGCAGCCGGTTAAAGCACAGCACTGAGAATCTAAAGCCACTTCCGCATGAGTTCGATTCCTGCCTGCCCCGGAAGTGACCACATGGTGTGGCAGACCTCTCCTGACCCACCCGCTGCTCCCCTCAGCAGTGTACTTTGT